ATCGCGCACGCTCGCGCTGGGTTCTTATGCGCATGCTCAGTCTAGGAGTAAGAGCGCCACCAATGCGGACTGTGTCTGCAGTCCCCACACTGACATGATTTCTGTGGTGAACTTCGCCGTTCTACTTCTAGTAGCCAGTCTCGCGCGGGGCCAGCTGGACTGTGCTTACCCCACTAGAACCGACTTAGCCAGCGTCATCCAGAACACCCTTCGCAGCGGGGACGCGGCGTCCAACCACGACATCAACGTCACGGCCTTTCATCCGCTCTGCCTGGCTTACAGCGCGCAAAAGCACCGCTATCGAGGAATCTCCGTCCTCATAAACTATACGTGCAGAGGCCCGGCGACGTGTCCGCGCGGCGAGTCGGCGATCGAACAGTTTGAGTCAGAATGCGAGGACGGGAGATGGAGCAATAGGATATTGGGGACTTTTTCCGCTGGCTCGCGGACTATCGAACCGACCGCGTCTTTCTCGACGCCCCTGCGGGAAGATTGCGCCTTCTGTTTTTCTCCGGAGCTGGGTCGAGAAGTCGGAGCACCCACCGCACCTGACGCCGTAACACACTGCTCCGGTGAGCTCTAGCTCTAGCCAAGCGGATATTATACTGAAACCAGTACAGAAAAAGTACTATGCTACCCTCCGAATAAAGGTCTCTTTACCAAGGACAACTGGTTCTGCCCCATACTATTCCATCTGTGTAGTAAAGGACTCCTTTAAAAAAACCACTGCTTCAATCTGAGGTTTCACTGAATTTCTCTCGTTACATGTGATGATATTCCCAGAGTGTCATGAAGGCTGCGGAGGAGGATCGCGGGGTCAGAACAGGTGCACGGGGCTAGACTGCAATGCCTGTTGCAGTGTGTATGTGGATGACATGTGCGACACAGCCTGTCCAACTCAGGGACTCTACATCCTTGACGAGGAATACACCTGTGGTGAGTGTATAGAGCCACATACACATTCGAATAAAGTGCCCACTTTATACTGGCCCTTCTCTTTCCATTATGCACAGCGTGCTAAAAAGTGCGTACTTTGTGCCGACCCTTCTCTTCCCAGCTAGAGAAAAGGGTGTATACCTATAGCAGGGGCATACAGTTTGTCCATTGTTTGGAAGTAATTATCATGCTTGATTGTTGCTCTATAATAGTGCCACAGTGCCCTAGTTTCGACCACCTGGTGAGGAACGGTGCCGTGAGCTACTCTCGACAGGACACACAGTTGCAGAGTACTTACAGCATTGGGAGCATTGCCACAGTCACCTGCGACTCTGGATTCAGGGGAGGCGGCTTCTCCACTTGTACCTCTGGTGGAGTCTGGTCTTCATACCCACCAGCCTGTAAAGGTATAATATAGCTATACTACTGGTCCACTAGCAAATATGGGAGTTACATGCACGCCATACAGGATTGCAATTCTATTAGGGACAGCGCTTGCAGAATTTGCAATTAATAACATTGCAAAAAACGTACTATCTATGTACCAACTCGATTTTAATTCACCGCAAGGCGACAGGACCGTCTCTGCAAAATATAAACTGGACAACGGAATATCCCCATTCAGACGACTAAGTGGGCTTAGCAATTAAGAATTCTAGTCAGTGCTGGTACATACTGAGCATTACCAACACCGTCTGACTGTTCTACAATTCAACCGTTTTTGTGTTATATATACAGCTGTTGATTGTGGGGAACCTCCTAGACTAACGAACGGCAGAGTGGCGATGCTGTCTATAAACACTTCGCTCAACTCTGTGGCTATGTACGAGTGTGACACCAATCACTACTTTGAGGTCGGGAGCAAAACCTCTCGCATCTGTCAGGAGAGTGGGGAGTGGTCTACTGAGAACATACATTGCTGTGAGCATTGTATTACACCTAAACATTATGTATGTGTGTGCCAAGGTATGCTTTTCAAGTGATGGATAATGGCAGGTATAGTGAGTCGTTACGGGGGGGGGGTTGCATGGCTCCTGCCTTCGTTGCCAGAATAATGCTCAACCTCTATGAGTGTGTGTGTGTGTGTGCATTTGTTTGTCGTACACTTTCGTATGTTGGGTATACTTTCTTGGTAGAGTGTTGTGTTGTCTGGGGGCATTTTTACAAAGTGATGTTCGATCTTTGTGTGTGTGTGTGTGCCTACCTTGGCAAACACACCTAATGGACCCCTCGTGCATGCCACTGTTGGTATAGTAAATACCATACAACCAGAGAGACTCTTAATCTCATTTGCCGAATTCCAACCGAAAAAATTTGGCTTGATTTATGACTGTAGTGACCTACTGTGATGAGCCAGAAACTCTGGAAAACGGTATTGTGACACTCTATGGAAGAATGACAGGTTCAGTGGCTACTTATTCCTGTCATGATGGCTACCTACTGAATGGAGACCCCACGAGAGTGTGTCTGGGGGATGGGAGTTGGTCGGGCATTGATTCAACGTGCACAGGTGAACAACCGTTTACAGCTAGTGAAATCTCTGCAAAGTATACTGCCAATTGCACCTCTCTAAAGAGGCTTGGTTCTTTCCATTATATAATCATGTCTGATTAAGCTCTGAAAAAAGGACACTTTCAATGTCCCAAGGTCTCCTTCATTCAGAGGTTTCGCTATCTTACTCTGAAGTTTGATAGAAATGATCGTGCCCTACAGCTACTGACTGTGGCACTCTGCCCAACCCACTCAATGGAGACGTGAAAGTGTCTGATTCGGTGGCCAACTATTCTTGCAATGTTGGCTACACCTTGTCGGGAACTGCCACCAGAACATGTCAGGCAAATGGCATCTGGTCTAATAGCCACCCCTCATGCACAGGTAAGTATGCAGAAGAAAAGAAAGTAGAAAGAGAAACACTATGAAGCAAATGAGAGAGAAGATAGAGAGAGAAAGAATTTTTGTTCTTCTCTGCTACAGTTGTTGACTGTGGAGCATTGGCACCACCAGCACACGGACAAGTGAAAGCACCGGACACGATATTCAATTCTGTGGCCATTTACTCTTGCAACGTTGGCCGAGTTCTGACAGGAGATGAGATCAGAATATGCCTGGAAACTGGACGCTGGTCTGGCAGTGCCCCGGCCTGCACAAGTAGGTAACTTGGCCCGTGTGCTGATTCACACAAATCAGCCACGATACACTTGTACATGGCAGCAAGAGTGAGTGTACCATTAGCAAACACTTAAAGAGCATCTCCCACTTTTCTTTATGCTATATACACATCAACACAACTCATACTTTCCCTGTCTCACTGTCCATATGTGTGTGCACCGCGCAACTTGTCAGTAGTCTCCAACTATGATAATCATACCTTCTGCATCATTCTCCCACTTTCCCTGTCTTGTTGTCTATAATATTGTGTGTGTGTGTGTATGTAGGTGCACCATGCAACTTGAGTGGTCTCCAAGCATCAACCATAATCTTTGTCATTCTCTGCATCGTCTTGGCCGTGGCACTGGTGATAGCCCTTGTTGCCATCTACAGACCGAGGAGGGGCTTTGTCTTTATCAAATCCAGCGACAGGCGCATCTCACTGGGAGGACCGAATGAGACTCACAACAGACTAATTAATGATGGTACATAAATGCATAATAATAATAAGATTACTTCACACACATTTTATTTTACTTCCTTCTTAGAGTCCATGCAACTAATGGGATTTTGCCTTGCTTCTTCTCAAACTCACACTTTCTAATTATCTTTCTCTATCTCAGGAAGTAGTTCAGTTTTGTCTAGACACAGCTCCAGAAGAACAAACACAACTTTCCTTCCTCTTCACCCAACCACTGAGACCAATCACACGACCACTAAACTCTATGATGACGTGGAGAGAATGTACACAGACACGAAGTACCCGCACTCTCCGCAACAACACAGCTCAACTGACGGGGCAAACGTCTCTCACTCGTCTGATACACTGCCCCGGAAAACAGACTTGGAATGCGAATACGTCCAATTGGAATGTCCTCTTCATGCCCATACACAAGAAGATTCCAGCTGTAATGATACATTACCCAGAAAAGGTTTCGACACGACACAACAAGAACACGAAGAGGGCAATAATACTGATGGTCTCATTTCAACTGGGCAAAATGATAAACGTTCGCACCAAGAGTATTCCCTTTCGCTACATGAGACTACACCCTGCCTACTTGACAGTGGTGGACATGACTCTGGATCTTTAACCCTGACAAATCCAGTCATTACGCCTTTAACCCCTAACTATTCACATTTTACCCAGAGTGATCCATGTTTGAGTGTTCCGGAAGCGTCTCTAACCGCTCCAGAAGTATCTACCTACCACGATGAAAGATTAACCCCATCAGTACTAAATGGTCCAGAATTAACCCCTTGTGAACCAGGAGTAATTCAACCCACCGTAACTTATGCTGAGTCTGAATCATGCACACTCAGCAATCCTGAAATAACCCCATGCAACCCCGCCTACTCTGAATTTAACCCTTTTACCCTCTCGTACTCACCGTCTGAGGGAATACCATTAACCCCTCCAAGACCAGGCTCCCCTGACCCCATCTATGCCAATATTAATGTGATGAAGAGCGAAGTGCCCAATAAATCGTCAATGAGCAACAGAGTCAAGGAGCTGGTGTATCAGTTTGAGAACCAACTTCTGTCTGAGCCAAGTGACGCTGAAACAGACCAGGAGCCATGACTACATAACAAAGACAACTTATATAAGCATGCTGTTCTCCATTACTATGTGTAACATGGTGTTGTTGCACATGCGCAAAATGACAATTGCATGCACAAAATAACTCTAGCCTCATTGTTGCGTTGAATGAAAGTGACTAGGCCTTATCTTAATGCTCTACGATGGGCTCCAGACATCTGTGAAGATAATACTGAGTCAAGTGACGGAAAGTATGGCCAAATAAGGATCCTTGACTCTAAAATACATTATGCGATCAGGATCTCCAAAAATTCGCGCATGCGCAGTTGTGCCGAACGGCGCTGACGACTCTTGCGTCATCAAACTATCAGGACTCACTGTGAAGCGTAAACAGCGAGTCCTACAATTTGGACCCTCGTATTATACTTGTCTTCTGTGCAGGCCAACACAGGTAAGAGATAATTGAGTACTGAATGGAAATGCATTATCTACATGGAAGGCATCACATGGCCTGTCATATATAGCGTATAGCGTATTATATAAGAGCGCTTTGTGTTGGTGCAGGGAGCGAATTCGGATAAAAATGTTTCCAGATAACATCTGTCAAGTACTGCTTCTAGTGGCTGTAGTGGTGGGGTCAAGCCACAGTCAGCAGCACTACTGCTCGTATCCTAGTAGTACCGAGCTGGAGAGTGTGATTGCCGCCATCATCGCCTCAGGAGATGCTGCAGCTAAACCCACGATAACTCTGCTGGATTTCAATCCCGTCTGTCGTTCATTCACTGACCGACAAGACCTCCTACGTGGAGTGTCAGTCGTGGTGCAGTACACTTGCTCTGGTCACTCCAACTGCCGATCAGGAACTGTAGTGGAGCAGATTGAGTCTGGTTGTGAAAGTGGAAAGTGGAGCATTAGAGTAGAAGGCTCTACTTCTTTCACTCGTTCAGAATCCACTGAAGCCAGTCTTTCTACCACTGCCAGAGAAGACTGTTCAGCTTGTGTGTCTCCAGAACTAGCAAGCAGTCTGGGTGTCACGACTGATAGCGTAACTCACTGTGTAGGTAAGTGAGCAATAGATCAATCCAACCTACTGTCACAGTCTTTGTTTTTCCACAGCCTGTAACTCAACATGTGATCAAGGTCTCATGAGATGCTTTGGATTTGGTGCCAGTGACTGCTGCAACTTCTACAACAACTCAGTGTGTGTGGAGCAGTGTCCCAGTCCTTTCATGTCCAACTCTGACAGTATATGTGTCTGTCCAGAGGGGACTACTGGCCACAACTGCGAAGATGGTGAAGTTAAACATTTGCTTTCTGAATCATCATGAATGAATTCTTTTACAGATGTTGACTGTGGTAGTCTTACAGACCCAGTGAATGGAGCAGTTACTGTGACTAATACAACATTCAACTCAACAGCCACTTACTCCTGCAATGATGGCTACAGTCTAGTGGGAGATACCACCAGAACATGTGAGGCAAGTGGTCTCTGGTCTGGGGAACCAAAATTATGTGAGTCAAACACACAAACAGGATATGTCAGCTCATGAATGGCACTGTGTTTTAATGACCCAAGACCTTGTATCTTTATTCAATGGCAGACAATAGTACTATTCATGTACATTTACCTGTGTTGGCACTTAGGCTGTACAACAAACTGTATTGATTGTGACGTGGACGGTTGCAAAGTATGCGGAGCAGATTACAAGCTTGAGAATGGAGTTTGCAGTAAGTCATGTGTTCTGACAGGTCTTGAAGCCCTTACAAGCTCTCCTCCTGTCTTCCTAATTCTTTTTCTTTCTCCATGTGAAAGTGTGAGCTGTCTTAGTTTGCATGAAGTGGATCTGAAAATAGAATAACTCTCTTTTCTTGTCCTTCTCCCCCCTCTCTCCCTCTGTTCCTTCCCTCAGAGTGTGTTGTTACTGGTTGCAGCAGTTGCGAAAGTGACTCCAGCAAGTGTGATACATGTGAAGAAGGGCGGAGACTGGACGATGATAAGTCAGCCTGCTCAGGTGTGGGGCAGTCCATATGTATTGCAGAACACATCTCCACCACTTATGATTGTACTGATACGTGTCATAGTAATTGTAGGCCCTTTTCCCACTGCCTTCTTTATGATTGCATTTCTCTCTCCTTTTCTCCTACTTTTTCTTCCTTAAGATTGTATGTACTCTTCGCTGATTACAGAATTGCTAGAAATTTCCTCTACTTTGCAACTTTCTTATTCCTCTCAGAATGCGCAGTTACTGGTTGCAGTAATTGTGACAGTGATGTCAGCAAGTGTGACACATGTGAGGAAGGACGACTGAGCGATGAGAAATCAGCCTGTATCACCGGAAATGATGGTGGCAGTGAAAATGATGATGATAATGGTCTCTCTATTGGAGCCATCATTGGTGAGTCTAAATAGACTTCTGCAGGGCAATGTATAGTAAATCTGTAGGTTTTACTTCTGCTTAAGCAGTAAAATACTATTTATGGGTTTTACTTCTGCTTAAGCTGCACAAGCTGTAAGTATGTATATCATGTTTCAACTTACAGGCTATTGGCCTAATTCCTGAACAATGCTCTCTGTCTGGTGATTTGTCCAGGGAAGATATTTTTCTGGGCTTCCCTAAACAATGCTAGACAAAACCATTACTCACCTTTTCCTCAGATGTAGCCATAGTGTTAGTGTATGCACTTCTGTATGGAAAACCCATCCAGATCTGCCTTTGTACTAGAGCACTATCTAGAATATTTCGTATACTAATAACACTGTACACTCTCTCTATCTCTCACTCCAGGTATTGTGATTGCTTGCATCGTTGCTGTCGTTGTTATTGTCGTGGTTGTTATAGCGATTGCACTGTATGCAGTCTTCCGTAACAACAAGTAGAACAAACAATTCTCCATGTGTCAACAATGTGTTTATTGCAAAAGTAGCTTACATTCTGTCGTCCATTTAGCTATAATTATAATACTTTTACAGGCGCATGGCTTTAGATTCATGCGGCGCTTGCGCGCGCGCGATTTTGTGTTTTGGGGGGTGGGGCTGTCGAGTGCTGCAAACTATTACAGTGCAGTGCAGTGCAGTGCAGTGACCGAGAATAGAACTCTACCGACTTTTGTAGGCCAGTCTCGTAGTCAGGATGTTCTCTGCTACCTTTCATCAGCTACTTCTAGTGGCCGTGGTTATGGTAGGGACAAGCTACAGTCAGCAGCACTACTGCTCGTATCCTAGTAGTACCGAGCTGGAGAGTGTGATTGCCGCCATCATCGCCTCAGGAGATGCTGCAGCTGAACCCACGATAACTCTGCTGGATTTCAACCCCGTCTGTCGTTCATTCACTGACCGACAAGACCTCCTACGTGGAGTGTCAGTCGTGGTGCAGTACACTTGCTCTGGTCACTCCAACTGCCGATCAGGAACTGTAGTGGAGCAGATTGAGTCTGGTTGTGAAAGGGGAAAGTGGAGCATTAGAGTAGAAGGCTCTACTTCTTTCACTCGTTCAGAATCCACTGAAGCCAGTCTTTCTACCACTGCCAGAGAAGACTGTTCAGCTTGTGTGTCTCCAGAACTAGCAAGCAGTCTGGGTGTCACGACTGATAGCGTAACTCACTGTGTAGGTAAGTGAGCAATAGATCAATCCAACCTACTGTCACAGTCTTTGTTATTCCACAGCCTGTAACTCAACATGTGATCAAGGTCTCATGAGATGCTTTGGATTTGGTGCCAGTGACTGCTGCAACTTCTACAACAACTCAGTGTGTGTGGAGCAGTGTCCCAGTCCTTTCATGTCCAACTCTGACAGTATATGTGTCTGTCCAGAGGGTAAAACTGGCCACAACTGCGAAGATGGTAAGCTAAAAAACCTACCTCACATTCTCTCATTATTTTTCCTAACTCCCTCACAGATATTGTCTGTGAAGAATTGGAAACGACTAATGCCATGGTTGGATACACCAACACAACGATGATTAACTCAGTGGCCATTTACTCCTGTGATGATGGCTACAGTCTAGTTGGAGACGCCAGCAGAACGTGTTTAGAAACTGGTCTGTGGTCTGGTACTGCTCCTACATGTAACAGTAAGTATTTTCAGTGCACTTTAGTTGAAGCTTATTTACATGGATTGTTTCATAGTTGACTGCGGAGCTCTTGAAAAACCAGTCAGTGGAAGTGTTTCATTTTCAAACGGGACAGTAATGGGATCTCTGGCTACCTACTCCTGCGATGCTGGCTATGCCGTACAGGGAAATACCACCAGGACGTGCCTGGCTAGTGGAAGCTGGTCCGCAACTGCCCCAACATGCGAAAAAGGTTGCATTATGCTAGCATCTATCTACAGTTGAACTCACCGACCGATGTAACTAAAGAAAGAGTCCATATTAGCGAGGTATCCCTATGTCAGGGATTAAAAGTCTTGGGAGAACAAAAGATGTTCTTATTATAGATGTGTCCTTATTTTAGGGGTGTCTTTAGCTGTACTAAATGTAAAACACGACCTATACTTAATTACAGAATCTATACTAAATAACTTGCTGATCTGCAGCTTGTGAAGTGACTGACTGTTACTCTTGTGAGTCAGATGTTATAAAATGCGATGCATGCAGTGGTGGAAAAGCCTACGATGAGAAAAGTGGCAACTGTGCAAGTAAGTCAGTGCTCATGTGCAGCTACCAAAGTATGATGGACTTTTGGTCCCACATTGGGTCTGCAGGTATTGAGTGTATGGAGTGTGATGATTGTGACGGACTCTTGGGTGGATTGATTGCTGTTGCTGCAGTTCTTCTGATTGTCCTTGTGGCTGTGGCAGTTACAATTTCACTTTGCATTTTGGGGAAGAAAAAAGTAGGGGAAAATGCAGTTCGGCCATCGGAAACAGTTGTAGATGAGAAACTCTTGCTAGGAAAAGAGTAGAACTTTTTACCTGCGATTTCTATACGGAGACTGCGCATGCGCAGACTTTGACGTTTGGCCTTCACCTTTGCCCCCCCGATCGCGATCGCAGCCGGCGAGACACTCGTCCATTTTAAGATGTTGGCAGCAAGGAGAGTCCTCTGTGGCTATGCAAGACGTGTCCCCGTGCTCAGGAGACCGTCTGCCAGGGCTTGGTCTACGGGGGCACGCGAGGTAGCAGCTGCCGCGGTCTTCATAACAAGTCCGCTCCGCCCCTCGCGAGCGTCTCTCTCTCTTCTTCACCGCCAACTGCGTGCACCCTCGACGTTTCTCAGACGAGGATATGTAGGTAAAACGGTAGCAGTAGGCAACAAAAATTCGTTACTCCATACTCCGAACTATTACGTCTGATTTATACACCTTTACGTATGGGAATGATAGGTCACACAAGCTTATCAACGCTACAAGTAGCATCTTATATCATGGATGTTTGTTACAGATCTGCCGGCCCATCGACTGGTGAAGCTGCCGGCCCTATCTCCCACGATGGAGACTGGTATGATAGTGAGCTGGGAGAAAGAGGTCGGAGATGAGCTAGCTGAGGGAGACATCCTGGCCCAAGTGAGGGAAAGATAGAGTGAGAGAGTGAGAGGGAGAGGGGAGAGAGAAAAAGAGGGTGTTAATTGAACTCCTCTCAAAAACACTTCTCTAACCTTCCTCCCCAAAGAGTATATAGTTCTTGCAAGCAACCAAAAAGAACCATCTAATCCGGGCACCAATGGCACAGAAGAAAGTGTCTATTTTAGTGAGGTGTCCTAGTTCAGGAGTTAAACTGCATGCAAGAACTGTTCTTGGTGAAAGAAGAGGTGTCCTCATTAGATAGCTGTCCTCATTTGGAGGCGTCATTAGAGAGGTGTTCCACTGCATGTGCCTCACAGGTGGAGACCGACAAGGCTACGATGGACATGGAGACACCAGCAGAAGGATTCCTGGCCAAGATCCTAGTTGAACCTGGGGTTAAAGACCTTCCTCTCGGGAAAGTAAGGAGTCTCACATCGCCGCAGTGTATAGTACATATACTTTGGGTGTTCACCCCCATCATTGTCCTATCCTCAGTACCATCTGTAGAGCATATATGTAATCTAGAGTTTGGCAATTGACAATCATAATGATATATATTTGCATGCGCTAGAGGGTTACGTTAGGTCTGTCTGTCTATCCGCTCTACTTAGTCAATGTGTAAACTTGAAAGGAAGACATTTTAGCAAATTAGAGTTCTGTCTAAAAGAAATCGTTGCCACCAAGATTTCCCCAAGACGCATTAACTGAAAATATATCCTAAATATCTCTGAGTTTCATGAAAGATTTGAGGCACATGTGTTTCCCTCTCAGCCACTGTGTGTGATAGTGGAGGAGGAAGGAGATGTGGGATCATTCGGTAATTACCAGCCACCAGAAGAAGGTCCATCCGCTCCACAAGTCAGTGTTTTCCCGTGTTCTGCCAAAATCGATAATACAATTGAATTTGGAGTCCATTATAACTTGCCAACATCTCCTGCATTATGCACTTGGGCAAAAGATTAAAAGTATCTTGTGTTTTCTATCATTATACATCTCTCCTACTACAGACAGAGCCACCAGCTCCACAACCTGAAGCCCCTCCCCCCCTCTCCTCCTCCTCCTCCTCCCCCTCCTCCTCCTCCCTCACAACCAGCAGTTTCATTGGGCGGTAGTGGAGACAGGATAAGAGCCAGTCCTTTTGCCAAGAACCTGGCCAGTCAGAGAGGAGTCAGCCTTCAGGTGAGGGAACACTGCCAATAGTCCCGGCCCCAGACCCTTTCCCTTACGTACACGCGCAACTAAATAATTTATGTGTGGAGAAAAAGCAAGGGACAGGGTCTGGCAAATCGAGTAGGCCTTGTCTTAAAGTTTCAGTTTAGTTCTCATTGTCCATTGTAAAGAAGTATCCATATTTGGTTCTTCCTCTGCCTCTGTGCTATTCGTTGTCCAGGATATCCAGGGAACGGGAATGGACGGCAGGATTGTCTCCAGGGACATCCTCGGAGCCACACCCACTGACACACCCACCATGATCGCTCCGGGTGCAGAGTTCACCGACATTGATCTCACCAACATGAGAAAGGCACGTACAATACAATATCTTTTCGGCAACGAAGATGAACTATCGTTACTTTCGTGACCATAACTATTCGCGAAGAATACTTTCATGGTTTTATAGAAATACGTGACAGTTTTTAGTACAGTTTTATTTGGCTGTTATTGTAGACGATAGCCAAGCGTCTGGTGGAGGCGAAGCAGTCCATACCTCATTACTACCTCACCATCGATGTACTCATGGACGACATTCTAGAGTGAGGCAACCTCTTTTCTCTTTTCTCTTCATGAATAAACTCGGGTTTTCAGCAAAATCATAGGCCCCATAGTGTCCCTTGTTAGAAGGTGCCACTGTGTTCTATTTATCTCTCTCTCTCTCTTTCAATTTCAGAGTTCGTCGTAGTCTGAACGAGAGAGGAAGAGGAGAGTACAAACTCTCCGTCAATGACTTTGTGGTGAAGGCAGCTGCTCTGGCCATGTCCGACGTACCCGAGGTCAACTCCAGCTGGATGGACACTTTCATTCGACAGTGGGTATTCCCTTCAAAATTTATACCATTTCCCTAAAAAATAGTAGGCATCTATGTATGGGTCTATATATTTAATGTGTACAGCATGGTATTGTTGATTACCTCATTTTTGACAAAACTGTGCAAACTGCTAATTTTTTGTACTTTTGCTAGATACCATACGGTTGATGTTAGTGTTGCTGTGGCAACACCCGCTGGGTTAATCACACCCATTGTCAAGAATGCTGATGGAAAAGTGAGTTATTCAATTAAAATCACAACATTTGGGAGGATGGCGAAATTTGGGCAAGATAGGAATAGGTGCAGTGAGATAGAGTATGCCACTATTCCATAGTCCAACTGTAGTCAAAGTATTAAGGATGGTTAGTTTGTCTCTTCTTGCTCTCTTGTTCGTACAAGAAATGCAAAATCGTTGACACCCTCATTTGGGAGGACAGTGAAATATGGGCAAGATAGGAATCGGTGCAGTGAGATAGAGTATGCCACTATTCCTTAGTCCAACTGTAGTCAAAGTATTAAGGATGGTTAGTTTGTCTCTTCTTGCTCTCATGTTCGTACAAGAAATGCAAAATCGTTGACACCCTCATTTGGGATGACAGAGACTAAAATTATTGTTAATCTGTGCAGGGGCTGAGGACAATAAACCAGGAGATAAGCCACCTGGCAGAGAGGGCCAGGGAGGGCAAACTACAACCACACGAGTTCCAAGGCGGGACGTTCACCATTTCAAACCTGGGCATGTTTGGAGTGCGGCAGTTCACTGCCATCATTAATCCTCCTCAGTCCTGCATATTGGCCGTCGGAGCTACTGAGAAGAGGGTTGTGGCTGATGAGCAATCAGTTCAGGGGTTAGTCTCATGTGATATAACAGCTCACGTAGGATAGTATATACTTGTATAAGACTGAAAGTGATTCCTAGCATTCCTAGCAAGAAGGGCTTCTGGGGCTTCTGGGGCTTCTGTTTTTATATATCACACTAAAAAGAGGGCTAGTAAATGTGGATACTAACATAAGAGATTTGGTGTGTCGGGGACTCTGGATGAGTTATATGTAGCATTCTCTGTGACACAACTTGCTTCTCCCAATTAAAGACCCCCTCTTTTTCTCCCTCTCTCTCTTTCTCTCCTCTAGCCACCGCACAGCCAGTGTCATGAGCGTTACTCTGAGCTGCGACCACAGAGTGGTCGACGGAGCAATCGGGGCTCAGTGGCTGTCCGCCTTCCGTACCAAACTCCAGGAACCAAACACAATGCTACTCTGAGACTATATATAACGCATAAAACACACAGCAGTCATGTTTACGTGTTTCTATAATAGCTCCTGCTCATTAGTGCAAATTACAATTGAAAAGTACGCGCTTGCGTTGTTTAGCGCGGGAAAGAATAGTTAAGCGCCCTCCTTCCACACCAAAGTGCAGCTGCCCGCATGTTACTGGCTAGGAGCAACATGTATCTCTTAGTTCTGTTCGTTCTGCTTCTCCTACTGCTCGTGGTGGCCCTGTCCTGGCTTAGAGTGAAGACGGCCGCCGGTACTACACTGAAGGACCTCACAGGCAGAATACTCCTAATTACAGCGCACCCCGACGACGAATGCATGTTCTTCGCGCCGACGGTTCTCTCGCTGGGAAGCTCCGTACGAGCCGAGCTGTTCCTACTGTGTCTCTCCGAGGGTGGGTATGAGCTCTTAATGAACGGGAATCTCCGTCGGAACGCCCCATTTGGCACCGCTAGCAATTCCTCGCGTGCTTTACCTTGATGTACCGTACTATAGTAACCGACCTTCTAGTGTATACCTGCCTGTAAACAAATCTCCCGAGGAATCCAACTCTCGGAAACGAATCTTTGAACCCTTATTACAGGGAACTATTACGGGGAAGGAAGGGTGAGAAAGAAGGAGCTGCTGCACAGTTCGGCCATTCTGGGCATCAGCGGGACAAACGTGGAGATAGTGAATGATGAGTGAGGGTAATAATATATAACACCATCACACTGAGGTGACTAGAGGGTGTTAGGGCAGTTTTTCCCCCAATGGGTCGCACTAACTTCGGTGTTTTGTTTAGAGTCACTAAAGAGTGATAGGAAGATTCTGTGACTTTTAAAAACCCCTCTTTCTTGAGAGGAAACACCACACACTGCATAAACAATCGTTCTAGGGCTAGGGCTACTGTTAAAAACACATTCTATGACAATAATTAGGTTGGATGTATTATTATATCTGTGTATTACTCTGTATTGTGCTGTAGCTGTACTATGCTGCATGCTTCAAAATGTGCTGTTAATTCACTGCGGCGTAGTCTGTTATGATGATCAACGGTTAGTAAAATCTTTGGCCTGTGATAGGGAGTTGGCAGACGGTCCTCGTGAGGAATGGAGTGAGTCAGTCATTGAGAATTACATCATATCTGCAGTCCACAACTGTACCATCAGTCGAGTAAGTGGGGGAAGAGGTCTACTGCATGCACATTGCTTCAACAAAGGTTCTGTATACGGCTATGACTACTTTGGCTATAATATTATAGAGAGAGAGAGAGAGCTTGGTCTACTCCTGTTTTTTAGTAATATGGGGAGTACAATATATTTTTAAAAACCCCACTATATAGCATGGACATTTTCGGCTGTCCAATCGGTGTCTATATTTTACAAGTGCTTTGGAATCCAAATGCAAGACTTTCAGTTTAGTGTTTTCCTTCCAACACTGATTACTCTAAGAGCCCCTGTGTGTATGCAAACCCTCTAATCTCTAGTCAGCTATCAACAGGAAACACTTGTACTTTCCCACTGCACTGTGGTGGTGTGGATTACATGATCTCAATAATTACACAACATAGTGTATTAGGAGATATGCATCACTAATCAGGACATGTCACTAATCAGGACACCCCTTCCTGCTTCTTAACCAGTATAATATACAAGGCTTGGTCATGTGGTGTTAATCTAATAATAGTTGAAATCATCAGCCTTGTCAGTTGGTGTCAGTTGGAATGCGTGGCATGCACTAATTACCACTTCCTAGTGGTTTCTTGGCAAGGCAGTCCTTGTTTGGGTGTCTGTAGATCATACATACTTGGTACTGGGTTTTGGGCGGTGTGCAAATGTGTATGGAGCTATATGTTGTCCATTCAGATCATTACCTTTGATGACCACGGGGTGTCTGGTCATCCTAACCATATTGCCATCCATAGAGCTGTGAGGTAAGTTAAACAACACTATCTAATGTATTGATGTATTGAAGTTGACAGCAGTGTGGTCTGTGTTTGGACCCACACTCTGTAGTCATGTTGACATAGTTTTTGGTCCAAGAGAAAACTTTGGCTTGGCTTGTGACAACACTCAGTAGTTTTCGATAAATTTCTCTAGTCATTTCTCATAAACACAGAACGGTTATGTTCACATTGTAGCCTATAATATTATGCACACAGTTAGTATAATATTAATAGGTTCCAGGAAATGGGGTGGATAGTTTCTTGTAACAAAGTCACATTTAATCGTGCATGATATTTGCATGATAATTATATATATATATAGCGGAAGGTACTGTGAGATTACATACGTCGATTTTGAGGCAAATGTTTTGTAAGGCAATGTTATGATATTACTTCCATGTATGGATCTGTCAGGCGAATGTGTGAGTCGGAAAAGTTGGCAGCGGCAGGCATACAGGAAGTACTGCTGCTACAGTCTACATCTCTACTGAGGAAGTACATCAGCTTCATTGATGCTGCCTGGACCAGTCTCTTCCACAGGTCTGTGTCCATGCATCATGGGAGAGAGTTTTGTCCTCTTGCTCTCTGGTATAGTGTAAGACATCCTTTGGGTTGAGGGTCGTTGGGTGAATAATTATGAGAGTGTAGTTAAAATAGGACGAACGAGACTAGATTTTTTGTTGGGAGATCAAATATTCACGTGACTATAATATGGCACCATTGAGATCTTGTTTACTGGGCTTTTTCACGTCATTTCAGACATTTTGTGCTGTCATCGGTGGATGAATACTGGTTAGCAAAGGTGAGTAAAACTCTGATTTGGTGCACTAACAGGAAAACTCGTTCTTTTCATCTGCAGCAAGCAATGGAAGCACATTCCTCGCAATACCTGTGGTTTCGTCACGTGTACGTCCTACTCTCTCGCTACATGTTTGCAAATTCGTTCACCAGACTACAGATCCACCACGGCAACTCTAACAGCACTTGAGGCATAGCGGTTTTTTTTTATCACTAGCCCCGTTTTCACATAGCCTGCGCATATACATCCGATTATGATGCATTATGTATGTATCATTATGTATAATTATAATTATTATGACTGCAAAAACGGAAGTCTAGAACGTATACAATGCTACGAAAATCTTCAGATAATATACAAAATGAACAGTATATATTCTCACAATATGTGCTACAGGAGAGTCATGTATATTGCACACACAGTCATTTCAACAAGTAAATAATATAAAAAACCGAGAGTAGTGCAAATTGTATATACAATAACAAACAAAGGCTGCTGAGTAGTGAATTGAAAACAGGTCTCAAATACAACTATATATTTACAGTGATGCATGCAATATTATAGTATAACTGACACACTGAATTGGTGGGACATACAAAGAGGTGGAGGTAGGGAGGTGAAGGGGTACAGAGAGAAAAGAATACAGTGGGAAGAGGTGTTTGTCTGATGCTCTGTCTTCTACCCCTCCACCTCTTCTGCGACTGTGGTGGGGTCTAAATAGAGTGGGTTGTCCCGAGCAACTCTGCAATAAAAACCAATTTGTTGGTATTAACGCTCAATGGATAAGCAAGATTGGTGTAACGAACAAATTGAAAGAGTTACAAAACACACATTACCTTCAATTACAAAAGCACCCTTTGATGACAACTAACTCCTACTAACCGAAATCTAAAATTCCCTCACTAAGAAAATACGAGAGATTAAGCTAACAAAACATTGAAAGTGGGCTCGCTGCTCAGAAAAAAACTGAATATGGATAGCTAGCTTCTCATAAAAAAGATGAAAATGCTAGAAAGAAAGCTAACAATGAGAGACTACTCACCCGTTGATTCCTTCAGGATCCTTTCCCTTCAGTTTTGTGGCTGGTGCCTGCTTCCATCTGTAGTAGGCATAGACAGCGGCTGCCACGGCTACTGCCAGAATGATGGCCAACAGGATTGCTATTGGGATTATGATACAGATGATGTTGTCTTTTCCACACGGACCGTTGCCGCCACCACTGCCAGTTGATTCTGTTAAGGACATCATATATAGCATATGTCACACAAAGAGAGGAGATTAATCAGTTATATATTATTATGTCTGCAGTGGAACACCTCTCTAAGGAAATGAAGACACGACAACTTTCTACAGAACTCAGGTTATGTATGCCAACCCACAGCTGCATATGGAATTTCATATACCACCCCAGATCTTTTTAGGGGAGGATCTATGCCCAAGAACAGTAGCCCCTGAAATAAGGACACCTCACTGATATTATATGGACCCTTCTTCTGTCCAATTGGGGTTCCACTGAAATATGCATCACAGAGACTGAGAGAAATTGTATACTCACTTTTTCTGCAAGAGTTATCGTCGGCATTCAGTTCGAGTGAGTCCTCACATGTAGTGCAGGAGACCTTTCCGTCCACCTCGGTGCAATCGTTGCACCCCTCTGGACACACTGGATCAGGTTTGACTGAGGGAGAGAGGGGGCGTGTCATTGACAATGTATCACAGTATTGGCCTAGTCCTATATCCAAGCACCGCGATAGCACGAACACACCTGACCTATCACTCGAGTTACTTTTCACGCAACATAATGTTGCCTTTGCCCCTACATATCTAAGCCCCATGATTACCTGATCTCACTAGCCACATGTTTGCCATATCTAAGCCCCATGATTACCTGATCTCACTAGCCACATGTTTGCCATATCTAATACCTGATCTCACTAGCCACATGTTTGCCATATCTAAGCCTGCACAAACACCCTATAAGACAGGTTCAATTCTGCTCCGCCCGCCCCTATATCTCAAGCCTCATCATTGCACAAACACACATGCCTATGACAAGACATACTTGCCCAAATTTCTACGTGTATCTCAGCCATACGCTGCAAAAACACCTACGTACTATTATAGGACATGCCTCAAACACGTAGTTGTGTGTTTCACATTGCCTCGCTTTGCCATGCAGCTTCACTGTTGATCCTGCTTCACTGCTCTCCAAAGGAGAGAGTACATCACACATGACAAGTGTCCTCCCACTGTATGATAACATACTGCGTTAGACTTTACCCTACGCATGTCCCAAACCACATTTCACGGTTGAATCGACCATTTCACAGATACTGTTACCGCCCCCCATTCATCACATGTATGCTCATCGCATGCATAATATATTATATACCTTCCCTTGCCTATATTAAGTAAAGTGTCCTCCTACAGCTTACTGCATTGTGTGTGTGTTCTACAGACTGCTGATGAATTAGGGCAAGCGGCACAAAATCGCATTAGCTAAAACAACTATTACCCAACTCCCACTTGTTGCATAAGAGGTGCATAAGAGGAGCACAATGCTGTTAGCGTCCTACCATTGTTTGCCCATGAAAGAGTGTACACTACTAAGAGAAGGTTTCGCTAAATCTTACACAGCTGCGCAAACACATTGTAAATAAGCCCATTCCTCCATACTATAAGGTTATCATAGTCCAGATGCAGCTTGTGTACTAAGGACTGATACACCCATGGTGCCTTGAATCCACGGTGTATATACTAACTTGCTAGGTTAATACTGATGTCGGTACTAAAAGTCTGATCGTGATGTGAAAAGTGAAGGTTTGCGAGGGAACTATATACTTTTGTCATTCCCCTACTCACATAGAAAATGGGGACAAGATAGAGTGCAGATAAGAATAGAAGAGTAGAAGCTATATACATTACCTGAACAAACAAATTCTCAGGAACAGTGGCAATTTGACTGCCCATTAATAATGTACCGAGAGATCTACAGCTACACAACGAGTAGCAAATGACTCTGAAACACGAGCAACTGTTACACAGGGACAGCTTGGCTCCCGTGTTGTCAGAGTCCCAGCTGGCTCTGGGATACCTTCCCACAGGTGCACAATACACAATGGGACCCTTGTGAAGTGACTGACGCAATCTTTGCTCCTAACTTCCCAGCCAAAATGGTTACATCCAAGTCAGTGGTTCATTTGAACATCTGGTTCTAGTCATGGAGGAATTTACCCGGTATTTCATCTGTCGGGCATACTAGCCTCAAACATCCCAACAATGATTTTATTGTCAAGGTGTGGGGCATTATATAAACCTTTACTCTCATCCACGTGTATGTGCACAGTGCGCTGCTGCTATTCAGGGTCAACTATGTAAAGTGCTGCCAAGTGAACGAATCTCGCGTAATTTCCGGAAAACCACAGAATGTACGGACAATGGTTTTCCCTCTATTTTCTTGACATTCTACCTCTCTATAGCTGTACATATTGGTCGCATGTAGCTTTTTACAGTACTTTATTAGGCCACTAGCAGACAATTGCTTTCATACGCTGCAACAGATTGGCTATTGGGTAACTAATCAACTGCCCATATGCCTTGCAGTGCAGGAGGAGAGAGAGGAGAGAGAGGAGGGACATGGACACACAAACAACACAAACACCGTTGCTCCTCCGGGAATAGTTAAAGGCCCTTCCCAAAAGCTCCTGCTAATATCCCCACACGCTAACACATCACTCACACGTATAATACATATAGTATCCACGCATCTGCTCACATACAGGTATGCACATCATATGACGACAGTAAACACCAGCACCCATGGACATAATATTTCCCAACGGACGTGTTTTAGCACACATTCAGGCTGTATCCTTCACTATGCTGCATGCTGGTGCAACAAGCGCCCTTACATACTGCGCACACTGATACACACTCCCACATACAAAGCTATTACACTAAGCATTTGCCCCTTTACTAAAGTATTACGGGGCTCCTACATACAAGGCCGATTCATGTGTTAGAAGTTCGGCTCTTCAAAGGATGCTCAAATGCACACACAAATCGATCCCTTTCCATACCGCCCCATAGAGTGTACCAACATAAACTCTTAGGCATGTGCACGCCCACTTGCTAATCTGTGATGACCAAAAAAGTACATATAATGTGTCCTAAAGCATTGACTAACAGTTACTATCATGGTACGTAGTTGATCCACATAGCTATTGGTGCAGCATGTAGTCAGGGGATGGTTTTATGGTCGCAGACGGTGGGAGTATAGATATAGTTCACTACTTGGTAGCTGTGTGTGCCTATGTGTGTGTGTCTGTCATTTGTAGGGTAAGGCATGCAAGAAGTGGGAAGTAGGAAAGGCAGGGAAGGTCATATGTGGACTGGAGACATGACCAGGAACACTTAGATCATAGCACACACACACACACACACACAGGGGAGGGGACACCCTCCATGGAAATGTGCAGTTCTCATTAATTGTGACAGTCCTTGAACTGCAATAGTCTCTACAATAACACACACACTCACAAAAGAGTTGTTGACACAATTCTTCCCGCGAACAAACACAAAACAGTTGAATCACCAGCTCATAACTAAAGTCTACACTGCCCAAGACAGCATGAAACTCCGCTCCATTGATCTCAGACTCAACCCAAGCTCTGTTCTTCTTGGCCCGGCGAGCTAGAACTAAAGTATTTAGGACGGCTCTCCCCAGCCAATTTTCCCCACTGCAATCTATTCACGTCACTCCCCAAGTTGTCATGCATGAGCATTCAAACTGTTTTGACTAGCGTCTTTGACAGTCGGCTCTAAGATCTGACACCACACTAGCACACACAAATGTAAACATGAAAAGTTTTGACCCACTGGAGAGAGATCCCCCCCTCAATACTGTACACCTTCGAAAAAAGGCACTTGGTTCTGCCCCATACTAAGGCAATACTACCTCCGAATAAGGGATACCTCTGAATAAAGGATACTTTCGATGTCCCCAAGGTGTCTGTTGTTCGGAAGTTTCACTGTATATTTCCTCCGAACAAGGAACGTCTCTGAATAGATGGCACTTTCGATGCCCCCAACGTGCCCCACACTCAGAGGTTTTTACACTATGTTACCTTACTCAAGTGAGCAAGGGACACCTCTGAATTAAGAGTTCCCACGATGTTTCTTACTGAGATGGTTTCATGTATATACTGCCAAGAGCCAGAGTTGTTTGCTAGAGATCGGGATGTGTGTATACACTCTAGAGTCCAGTCTGCCAGCCCACATCAAAGACGATAGGTCTCTGACTACCAGTCTACTGCCCTCTACTAGTGGGACAGATATGAGCTATCAACACAGACTACCTAGTACTACTGGCCACTGCTACTGTGCATGTGTTTGGGAATCTTGACATGGTTGAACTGTTGAACTGTAAAGCATCTAATGCCGTCTGACAGGATATTAACCAGGTAAATGAGGACTTGCTCACATTTTGCTGCCCAACAATCCACCATGAGTGTTTTTTTCCAGTTACCCACCATTTGACGTGTGTTATCACAGGCTATTTTTACAGCTGTCTAAAAATAACCTCCAGCGAATTCCGTCCAAACCAATTTCTTCAACGTGCGAGTTTTCACAGCAGCGAAGGCAATGAGCCTGTGTCTGGCAAGATACCTGACTCCATGTAATAGGCTTTGGAATGTGGAGGCATTCCGATTCTTGGTTACTAGCCGCGGTGTGCGAATACGAGTGCATGCCGCGAAATTCGCTAAATTGTCCACCATATCAGGTTTATAGGTGGGGTTGACAGTCCTGAGCAGCACACGCTTGCTGTTCCTCCACAGTTTATGAACGGGCCGCTTTGAGAGAATCAGGACACCTTAGTGATCGTGGGACACATCAGTGATCGTGGGTCACATCCCAGGGATGCTTTAGGAATCATGATTGGGACAGTACAAAGACTTTGAGCCACTTTGATGAACTTAGGAACACTTCTAGGAAGGAAGGGAACACTTCTATGGACCAATAAGGAAGTCCATGTAGCTTTGAATGAAGGGAAGATTATACAGGCTATTGTTCGTTTCATTTATCACCCACTTGAAGTTGTTGCACGCACGATCGCTTGCTGTTTGCACACATTCCTTGAAGGAGGGCAAGATAACTTGTTTTGCAGGGAGTCTACCAGAGGCAATCCATTTGGATTTTCCTTCAAGATTTGTCTGAAGCATGAAGTGTCACAGTGCTCTATTTACAGAAGAGCGATAGGGAGACCTAAGTTGTTGCACGCACAATCGCTTGCTGTTTGGCTAAAGAGGCACACATTCCTTCAAGGAGGGCAAGATAACTTGTCTTGCAGGGAGTCTGACTTGTAGCTACCAGAGGCAATCAATTTGGATTTTCGTTGAACATTAATTTGTCTGAAGCATGAAGTGTCACAGTGCTCTATTTACAGAAGAGCGATAGGGAGACCTAAGTTTGTCACATGCTTCACATGCTATTACAAGGCTGACACAACACCACCACCTACTGGTGGCTATATAAGGAGGCATATCTGCACCTATTGTAAGACAGGAAATCCTTTCAGGATCAACAGGGAAGGCCTACACTATACTGTACTAATAGGAGAGATAAATAGTGATGTAATAGTGATGTAATAGGGGAGTTCTTCAGAGGAAATTGCTCCACAAGTCAGTAATACAATATCTTTAGCCTGGAATTCCCAGGTTGATATTGATAGGACGGTAATCACATTACACCAGGTCCATATAGTACAACACCATGAACACAGTGTGTCACACTCTACTGTATATTGGGTGGTGTAATGTGAGCAAGTAGGAGTGGCAGACTTGAGTCCCCCTCATCCACCACACACACACACTGATAACTATACAGACACAAACAGGTTGAGAGAGAGAGGAGAGTGTGTGTGAGAGAGAGAGAGAGAGAGAGAGAAGGAAGGAGATTGTGCAGAAGGAAGTTGGGCATGAGAAACAGCCTACTCTGCCCACACATGGCATTGGTCTTGGCTGTGGGCCATCTGCACTTACAATACACTCTATATATGCCTATGCATATGGCTGCCAGGTGTCCAGCCTCCAAGACAGGGTTTGAAGGTAAACTGTAGTACACACACTGTGGGAGGTTTATAGACAGTGGAAAACCACACTAAAATGTATGTGCCTCTGGACTAGAGCACACTAGGGGCTGGTTAACCAGTCTGAAAGGGGTTAATATTCAGGTGGCTCGAATATACCACCTGTGCCAGACGCTAGCTGTAGGTTAGCTAATTGCAGGTAATTGGTCTCCAAAAGCTATTATATCACACCCTATAGCATACTGCATTACTGCCAGCAATATCAGTTGGTAATACTTGGCTGTTCTGTATGCCTCGGAATACCGCCAATGTACACATACTGAGTTCACAAACAAACTGTCTAAGTAACTATTAAAGACGTTTCCCGTCAAGTGAAACTTACTGCATTCAAGATCTTCGTTTGACCAGGTCTTATCACTTTGGCAAGTCCTAGTGTTCCTTTCGTCTTTGAATCTGTAGTCAGTGTCACACTCGTATGTGGCTACTGCTCCAACCTCCGTGGTGGCTGGTACTCCTGAAACTTTCCCGTTCACTAAAGTTGGGACTTCACCACACTCAATCACTGTGCATCAGACGAAAAAGAAATGTCTTATAGTGACTGAGTGTAAGTGAAACAGCTCTTACCGGTGCAGTTTGGTAGGGTGGAGTTCCATGTGCCAGCGTTGCTGCAGATAGCGCCATACCCATCTGTCTCATACGTATCATTGCATGCAACAGTAGCTGTAGTTCCCGACGAGAAGCCTTCTCCTGTAGCATCCTGAGAATACTCCACTCTTCCATTCCCAACTGTGCCAAGGCTATCAGGACAGTCTCTCACTGTTAGGCAAATGGAAGAGAAAAGAAGTATATAAACTGAAAGAGAACAAAAAGACGTAACTTACAGCAGTTAAAGTCATCGCTGATGGAATAAACACCGTCTTCCGGACAGGCCTCGCCACATGTGCCATTAGGTAGATAAACCTGACAGCAGGAGTCAGAACCAAAGCCAAAGCATCTTCTAGCTCCAGCTTCTTCACCACTGCATAGAGCGTTACATTCTGCAAATGGCCATGTGATAAACCACACATATTTCAGAAACCATCAAAGTCAGTCCTCACCAATGCAATGCGACCCGTCGCCGGACGGATCAGGAGCGCCTCCAGGGGCACTAGCGACTACTTGAGACGCACAGAAAGAACAGTCTTCTCTGAGACCAGTTGAGAAATCACCAGTGGCAGGAGATGTCCGAGGAGTTCCCGTGACACCAAGAACTTGAATGCCCCAAGTATTTTCGGCACACTCGGCTTCAAACTGCTCTACTACCATACCCTCGGGACATCCCGCATTTACCTCACAAGTGTACTCAACGATAACAGAGAAAGCTCTATAGCGATCTCTTTGCCGACTGTAGGCCAGGCACACAATACTGTATCTGTTCAAGTCGATGGTAGGGGCGACGGCACCCTCTCCAATCGTGAAACCTTGAGATATTACATCTCTAATAATGTTTTCAGTAGGATAGTCACAGTCCTCCACACACGACCCGCTCCCGAGGAGACAAGTAACTAGAACTATTCCAACAACGACGAGACGCATCTTCGCACGTGCACTACTAATGACAGAATGGACACTGCGGAAGTTCGCCAGATATTTTATAAGTAATTGCGCATGCGCATGCCTATGACCTCGCGCGCATGCGTGACCGTTTTTCGCGCGACATTGCGCAACGCAGTCAAGTCAGTGGTTTACGTCTTATACAGCAGACATCTAATTTTTGCATGCCCAAATTGCTACCAATGCTATAAAAACTCCAGCCACAATGAGAAAGAACAGCACCACAACTGCCACAATAATCCCTGAGAGGAATCAACACAAAAGAAGAACATAATAATATTATTATGATGAAATCAACCAGGGTAGTCAACTCACCTATTTCAACATTAGAGCTGTTACCTGGAGAAAAACATAGAAAAGAGCATAAATAGGAGACCACAGAAGGAATATTATAATTGAAGACCCCACTAATCCCAACAACAATGGGACAGAAGAGTGTATCCCTTCAACAAGTGTCCTTATATTCGGGGGTAAAAATAAAACAAAACCTGTTTTTTCGGAAAGGAAAGGTGTCTTTTGTGAAGAAGTGTCTTTATACCAAACATGATTTCTCTTCTTATGGTCCCTCACAATAATCTACTCCCTTACTCTCAGGTTCACACGCTGGAGCATCTCCGGACCAATCTCCGTCAATCTGACACTTGCGGGTGGCCCCTCCACTCAATTCAAATCCATTTTTACACTCGTAGACAGCTTCATTAGGATACACACGCTCGTCATATGTCACCGTTCCATTTGTGGGGTTTTTCAGCGCAGGGCACTCAACAGCTGAAATACGAATCAACAGGCACAAGTGAAATCCCACATCAAATTTGGCAGCAAAATTTTATGTTTCTATAAATGCACATTGGTTTTCTATGGCCTTAGTGCTGTAGCTGCTGGGGTAACTAGTTAATTCTGCATCTGCTATTATGTGCACAAACCGTTCAGCCTAATAGTATCATCCCAATGCCTTATTGTAGCATGAGGACTAAGGATTTTTAACAAAGCCGTGTGGAACTGAACTTGTCTGATCATGATGACCTTGTAGAGAGTACACTAATAGCTATATATGTGCTACGTACGTTTTACACAATTGAAGTCTTCATCGACCACGTGACATTCCTCTGGACACTCCTCCACACACATGTCCTCAAAGTAGTAAGTGCAGCAGGTTCCAAGTCGACCATCACACAGCATGAGTCCTTCGTCACACCCAGAACAAGCTATATTATACCAGTACACAGGGCATTGATTTGCATGGGCAAGACAACAAACTTGTGTCCAGGTATTACAGTGCGCAGCTAAAAACGGGGTGGTTAGCTAAAGGCACAAAACGCTACATGACATCATCCCTATATCTTTGTCTGAATATGTATACCTACCACCAACTGACCATAGCAACTGTAAAGGCTGGTAAGCATTAGCTCTAGGAAACTAATTGAATCCAAGAAACCATAATCATCGAGTGTTGGATTTCTACGTGTGGCATGAAATCAGACGCTGTTTGTGTCAATAAGCCATAGACTGATGACTATTTCACATGCCAATGATGGCAATTCAGTGAGGTAACACGCGTTACAGCGGAAGCTTGCACAAGTGGAATCAGTAAAATGAAATAGGGGAGGTTGATGGTGCCTTCTTTTTCCCCTTCCCATTTCTTCCTCTCTTGCCTCTTGCAGTGATGTCATTCAGCAACTCTAACTGAATGAGCCAAAAGCTATATCAATCTGCCGAAAGGCATTCTAGCACCCCACTCAATAACAAAGTCAACCATTACCACTCCAGGACTGTTATAATTGTACTTACGCAGACAGTGCGTCACGGAATCGGCTCCTGAGAGGTCTGCTGCACACGCGCTGCAGTTATACAGCGGCTCCGTGTCAAAGTCGGCCTCGGGGTCGTCTTCACGAATATGCTCCATATCCCTGCCGAATGACTCCGCGATCCACTCGTTACTGGTGGAGCATTCGAAGTCGTACTGAACGAGGACATCCGCCTCCGTCGTGCATAGGGATCCACTGCACGTCTGGCTAACGACGACGGAGACGTAGCGATACCTGTCGCGCGTCGCTGCGGACGCTTCGCAGACGATGTGCATGTCGTTCACCACAATGAAAGGGTTGGTGGGGTTGACGTTGGGGTTGTAGGTCTGGACGAGGATGCTGCTCTGTAAGAAGTTGTTTCTGGACCTCAGGTCCTGTATGGTTATTCGCTCGCACTCCCGCACGCCGCCCTGGGCGGCGCGCGCGTGGTAGACAGAGAGCAGAAGAACGGCGATCGACAGCCAGCAACTCATGACGAATAGATCTAACGAAACTTTAGCCATTCTCACTGCAGCAATTTGTTCTTATGCAACGCACGTCTAGAGCTAGCTTAGGCTGCGCAGCTTGAGATTTGGACCAATCAGAATGCCGGAATTCTACCGTGCTGCCGCGCTTCAAAACGCTGCAGTGAAATTGTGCTGTTGTGCGTTCATTTGCACTAAAAAATACTTCAGAATTAGAAACTTTGTTAATTTTTACATGCCCAAACTGCTATAAATGTTACGAAAACTCCGACCACAATGAGAAAGAACAGCACCACAACTGCCACCACAATCCCTGACAGAGGCACACACACACTCATGATCAAATAAAGTCAGGGGCAACTCTAATCAACTCACCAAGCTCAGCATTGGAAATGCCACTGCTACTGCTGCTGCTGCTTTCACCTGCAGAAACAGAGACCACCTAACACCACTGGCTCGTCTATTTATTATGAAGGTGAAAAATTACATCCCACCCAAATTATAATGCTTCGGCTATTTCGGTTTCACTCTGCATGATGATGTGTACAGAGGGGAATTTAGAGAAAACCAGCTACTGCTAGGAGTCGAGTCCAGTCCCAGGGACCAGTAACTCAGTCACTTCTATACTGAGCTAAAAACTCAACGACAATAAATTTCCTTCTTGAAGTAGAATCCAGCAACCAGACTAATATATATTCACCAAAACAAAACTCTTAGACAAAAGCTGCATTCACTTCTTGAAGCATAAATATTCATGGCTTATCAACCGTACTTTTGTTCCCTCTCTATATAGCATCTATTTATTCCCTTACCATCATCTTCCTCTTCCTCCTCTTCCTCCTCTTCCTCCTCAGGTTCACACTCTGGAGCATCATTAGTCCAATCTCCGTCAATCTGACACTCGCGGGTGGCCTCTCCACTCAGTTCAAATCCATCTTCACACTCGTAGACAGCTTCATTAGGATACACACGCTCGTCATATGTCACCGTTCCATTTGTGGGGTTTTGCAGCGCAGGGCACTCAACAGCTGCATACAAAACACTGCATTTAAGCTTATACTGCTTGGTAGCTAAATACACTACAGCTTATAATGTACGTAAGTGTTTTTTTATTTGTGCGCACAGAATTTAGAGGTGCTCCTTAAACACTTGCATCAGATTACATAAGACACACAGGTTCAAATGGGTTCCTTAGAGTCACATATAGTTAGTGTAGGCCAAGTATACAACTATTCAAAACACTGTTGGTATATAGCTACATACGTTCTACACAATTGTAGTCTTCATCTACCACGTGACTCTCCTCCGGACACTCTTCCACGCACTCGTCCTGATGGTAAAAGTTGCAGCAGTCAGTACCGAGTCCCGTCGCACTGCATGAGTCCTTGATCACAGCTAGAGGGACATGCTGTATAATAGATGTTTAAAACGGGACATAAAGGCAGAGCTCCACATGCATAGAACATGCTGGAGCGGCTGAAAAAGCTGCTAGAAAGACGAGTTGTAGGGAATTAGATTTGTGTATATTTCAAAATGTCAATATAAGGAAATGGAACTGTTTGTGCCTGAATCGAGAGCTATAGCAACTGAAACAGACTGGTAAGACTTAGAAAATAAACCACTAATCATTGCAATGCTAGATGAGCATAGCTCCAATCAAAGAAACCTAATTATTAAGGTTTGGAATTTTGCTGTACTCGCAGTAAGCCATCGACTATTGATTGTTTCCCAATCGTGACAAGACGGGCCTAGCAAAACGCAGTTAGCTACATGGCAAAAGTCACCTGAACTTGCAAGCACACCTGTAAAAGCTGCAATGCGTAGTCGATGCAACCAATCATCTTAATGTACAGTACAGTAGACTTACGTCGGCAGTGGGTCACGGGATCGGCTCCTGCGAGCGGGCGTGCGCACGCGCTGCATTTACGCAACGGCTCCGTGTCAAGGTCGGCCTCTGGGTTGTCTTCCCGAATGGCTTTGCTACCGAACGCCTCCGCGATCCACTCGTTACTTGCGGAGCATTCGAAGTCGTACTGCACTGTAGTCAAAACGTCCCTGGTCCCCTCGGGGCAGTTGAATCCGCTGCACTTCTGGCGAACGACGACGGAGACGTAGCGAAACGTGTCGCGGTTCGTCCCGACCGCTTCGCAGACGATGTGCATGTCCTCCACTACAATGAAGGGGTCCGTGGGGTTGACATTGGTGTTGTAGGTCTGGACGAGGATGCTGCTCTGTAGGGAATTCTCCCGGGACTCCAGGTTTTCCAGTGTTATTCGCGGACACTCCCGCACGCCTTGGGCGTGCACGCAGAAGACAGACAGCAGAAGAAAAACGATTGAGAGCATTGTAGGATCCAGCGAAGCATTTTCGCATTACTAATCTCACTTTTATATGCGCCCTTAATCTTTGCGCATGCGTACGCGGAAGAGCATTTCGACCAATCAGAATGCTCAGCGCCGCGCCGTCACACACAGCTCGTTCTATATTATTATAGCGAGAGTATGGTACAATGTACAAGTGCTGCTTCACAACGCTATGTACTAGATAAAGATGAGGTAACTACACTTCTGAGAGAGGGACTGTGTCACCTTCACCACCATATTCCTCCTCCCCCTCCTCCCCCTCTTCTCCCTCACTACTCCCACCGTCTTCCACTGTGTCTATCGTCTCTGTAGTCTCAACTTTCACAGCTCCAAATTCGACCTCAGCCTCCATGTACGAGGATCGCACATATGCAGGATTTGCCTTTCTCCTTATTGCTCTTTGTCTGTGTTTGAGAGAAAAGTCATCAGAATCAAAGTCTCATATATATAGAGTGAGTCGCTATCCCAACGAAAACAGAGTTATGAGCGTGAAGCACTAGTAGAGATAGCTGTGAATAAGTGATATGCATTCTTCACGGACCATGCATGCAATTCTGCTACAAACATACAGCGACCATGAGACGAAGGGCCTTTATCACCAGTTTTCGCTGCAAGGCCAAAAAATGAGCTGAAAGTGTGACTGCTCCATAAAGCCGTTTGTGTCGTTTAAAGGCCATGGGTATCTCCTTAAATAAGCAGAAATTGATGTATAATATATTAACGCCTAGTATTATAGCCATATATAAATTCTTATGGACTTATGGAGGCTCATGCCCGTGGCTTGCTAAGGGTTAAGACCGGAAGCTTACCAGCTCATAACTCACCCTATAGACTATATATTATAATAGTGGTTATATTTCTGTACTGGATTAACTCACACATCGTTGTATTTGTCTGTTGGTTCCGAGTCACTGCCCCGACAAGCTCTCTTGACCACACTTACTGTCATACAGGTGAGCAGAGTGATCAACAGAATAACGAAGATTATCACTCCTGCAAGAATACCTGGCAACAGAACAAAAAGAATGTTGTGTTTTACACATATTATACGTGTATAGTTAATGGATGGCAAGCTCTATAAATCAGTGCAACATTAGTATTAAGCACACACAGTTTCTTAGTATCCATGTTAATTAAAGTACACGAGAAGGATCCAAATTTATTCGCCTGCAAGTCACATATTTGCTTATCAAAGATGCTACATGGCTACATTGTATCTTTATTCAGCACTGCACACATAAAACATAAGCAAAAATGGTCACTTTTTAATCCTATAAATCGCATAATGTCAGAGACCTTCTTAAACAGAGCAGCTACATAATCCATACTGCACAAGTGCGGATCTTTTCGGGTGTGTTGAAATGCTATACTCTACTTCAGGAAATACAAGTTTCATTTACAGACCTGCAATTACAAAGTCTGATAGTCCGGATTCGTTCCCACTCTCATCAACTCTGTCCCCTCTCTCGGAGGTACCGGTGGAAAACGTGGGATCAGTCTTTGTGTTGCACAGTCCACCCTCTCTACTGAGGATGTAGCCGTTCTGACACTCCTCACATACACTGCTGCTGGTCTCTGAACACTTGAGACAGTTTTCAACTCCACAGAACTTTTCTGCAAAGAAAGCAACATTGCAAATTGCTTTTCTCTTTCGCTTTCTCTCTCTCTCTCTCTCTCTTTCTGTCTCCCACGCTTTCTGACTTGTATGCATACAGGGGAGGCAATAAGTGAGAGGTCCATGCTTTACTAATAGTCAACAACGCACAACACAGATTATACTTGAATTGCTTTCTCTCTACGTACCACAGTATCCATTATTGAGGAAGTAACCCAATCCACATTGGGTACAGAGCACAGGATCCTTCTCGGTAGCACAAGTGTCGCAACCGCTCAGCACGCAGTTTTCGCACTTCTGCCCACCAGTACCCTCGCGACAGCTGCACCGATAGCCCGGGGCGTCGTCGATGCATGTAGCACCATTCAAACAGTCGTGAGTTCCCTCAGAGCATTCGTCAATGTTGATCTGACAGCGTTCCCCCCGTGTAGCCGGCAAAACACGAGCAGCTGAATCCCCCCGCACTGTTAGTGCAGACTCCATTCATGGAGCAGGTTTCAGAGGTTGAACATTCGTCTATGTCGTCACCGCAGTGTGTCCCACTGTAGCCAGCTGGACAGTGGCAGGCAGTGCACCCCAGCACGTCAGGCGTACCTCCATTTTCACAACTCAGGTCACATACTATATCGGACAAAAAAGGTGTATTCATGTTGTTATAGTTTTGAAGATAATCATTATTTGTGGTCATCAATACTAGTACGTCACGAACTACGTGTGACACAACCAGGAATGCAGAGAATGCGTGAATGAATTTTTCACACATTTCTGAGCATACCAAATCAAGTGGGTGCTACCAAGGTTTCTGTAATATTAAGGCTATAGATACTTATGCTCTACATAGGCTTCTGTTGCTATGTATAAAGGCATTTTTTCTCAAAAGTCGAGTAAGTATCCCATATAGTGTTTCTGTACCACCTACATATATCATTATAGCTACACTAGTATATACACAGTCTATAGTGTGTATTACCTGTGCAGTCAGGTTCTCTCCAGAAGCTGGCACAGATACACTGCCATTGAGAGTTGTACGTTCTTCTGGGGCCACAGTTGCTCATACAGACATTGCTGGGTGAATAGTAGCTACAGCATTCAGTGGGCGACGGTCCGTAGCACAGTCCAGCCCCAGTAGCCGAGCAGACATCATCACAACCTACAAAATGCAGCCAAGAAGACTAGCAATTCTATTATGAGTGCTAAATGAACTCAAAGGAACCATAATGATCAGGATTTCCCCCCAGTATCAAGTTGTATATATCAATAACCAGAGGTTCCAGAGTGGTTCTTGCATGGTAGTCTCAATTTAGACTGGAAATTGAAACTTAATTGCATTCTTTCATTGTGCCCTATTGTGTAGTTCCATCTTTAGTAACATTTCTAAATTTAGCCCTTATATAATATACTGGCACATTCCCTTAATTAAACTGCTCACGAAGGTACAGTATCTGCCTTACTGACTAACCTACACAGTGGTAAATGGAGTGGGAAGTGGTTCCTAGTTCAGTAGCCAGCTGGGGGCTGAGACAAGCAGAACACGAGGTTCTAGTATCCTCATTCTCCGTCCCATTCCCCGCCACAAACACTTGGTCCAGACTCGATGCTATGTAGCGTAGGACACTGGCCTCCCAACTGCTGGTGGAGTTGGAGCACCCAATGTCTGCCTGCGCCAAGTACTGCATCCCGATTGTCGTGTAGAGCACCGTGACTGTTGTATGTGTGTAGGTATCACGGAGTGGACCAGATGACAAACAGTTGATGTACATATCAATGATGGTAATTTGAGGGGGGCAGTTTGTTTGCCCCGAGCATGAAGTCTGCTCGGCGACGTATGAGCTTAGAACACGTTCAACATCTGTTTGCATTATTGCAGGACAACTGCTGCCGATTGCATGGCCAGTACATGTTGGTTCACCCCCAGACCAGAGACCACTAGCCAGACATGTTCTGGTGGTATCTCCCACAAGACTGTAGCCATCACTGCAGGTGTAAGTGGCTGTTGAGGCGAACGTTGTGTCAGAAATTCTCACTTCTCCAAATGCCGGGTCAGCTAGACTACCACAGTCAACAACTGCAGAGAAAACATTTTTAGTTGACTTGGTGGATGGATGACTGAAAAGTGATAGAAATACAACGACCAGGAGTGAAAGGGAAAGAAACAACTTCGGTCAGAAGTCAAACACAGTGCAATACACACTGAACTAAATCTCCCTAACTAAAGCTGGTCTTCTCCATTCTCTCAAGTATAGCTATATACTACTGCCACCATCTCATGTGCAGTGTGTATATAAAGAGAAGCCCTCTCAAATAGTAGACTTTATACCTGTGCATGTTGGAGTACTGCCAGACCAGAGCCCAGTAGCAAGACATGTCCTGGGGGACTCTCCATCAAGACGGTAGCCAACACTGCAGGAATAGCTAGAGGTTGAGTTGAAGGTTGTATCGGACACAGCGACTGATCCATTTGCTGGGTCCTCGAGGGCTCCACAATCAACCACTGCAAATGAAACATTTTAAGCCCTTTGTTGTAGCTATGATAGATAGATCTATACCTGTGCACAGTGGGGCAGTTCCAGACCAGAGACCACTTGCCTCACATGTTCTGGTGGTATCTCCCACTAGACTGTAGCCATCATTGCAGGAGTAAGTGGCTGTTGAGGTGAATGTTGTGTCAAACACTTCCACTGCTCCATTTTCTGGGTCAGCTAGTCCACCACAGCTTACAACTGTGAGAGAAACAGGGAGCTTTTAATATTGGTTCTCTTAATTGTGTGACTTATTTACATACCTATGCATGATGGTTCAAAACTTGACCAGCTAGCAGTAGCCAGACATGTTCTGGCGGTATCTCCAACAAGATTGTAGCCACTGTCACAGGTGTAAGTGGCAGTCGAGTTAAATCTTTTACTGGTCACTGAAACTCCTCCATTGGTTGGATCGAACAGATCTCCACAGTCAATCTCTGCATTGAAATTATAAGTCATTACTTTGTCCTTTGCATGTTATTATACCTGTGCAGTTTGGAGCACTACCAGACCAGCTACCGCTAGCCAAACATCTTCTGGTTTCCTCTCCCACTAGATTATAACCATCATTGCAGGAGAAGGTGGCTGTTGAGTTAAATATTGTATCAGTCACTGTAGCTGCTCCATTTTCTGGGTCCGGTAACCCACCGCAGTCTACAACTGCACAGGAGATGGCAAATCATGGATATAAAATCATTTCTGGGGTGTGAAGTATACCTGTGCAGTTTGGAGCAATCCCAGACCAGAGACCACTAGCCAGACATGTTCTGGTGGAATCTCCCACTAGACTGTAGCCATCATTGCAGGAGTAAGTGGCTGATGAGGTGAATGTTGTATTAGACAGTGTGACTGCACCACTCGTTGGGTCAACCAGAACTCCACAGTCGACCACTGCAATGAACAAAAGTTTGTTCTATCATGGGTTTTAGTTATTCATTTAGCTTTTCCTCCACACCTGTGCACTGTGGGGATCTACCAGACCAGAGACCACTAGCCAGACATGTTCTGGTGGAATCTCCCTCTAGACTGTAGCCATCATTGCAGGAGTAAGTGGCTGTTGAGTTGAAAACTGTGGTAGAAACATTCACTAGTCCACTTGCTGGGGCTAAAAGGCCACCACAGTCCACCACTGTATTGAAACACATTTCACCTCTTTCTGTGGAAAAGCAACACTTTTTTTACCATCTTCGCAGTTGTGGCCAGTTTTCCCCTCTGGACAGACACAGATGCTGTCAGAGTTGGACAAGAAAGGACTGGGACACTGCTCCACACACACTGAGTTGTTGTAGAAGTTGCAGCAGTCACTGGCACCAGGTCCAAAGCATCTCATGAGACCTTGATCACACGCTGAGTTACAGGCTGTGGAAAAACAAAGACTGTGACAGTAGGTTGGATTGATCTATTGCTCACTTACCTACACAGTGAGTTACGCTATCAGTCGTGATACCCAGCTCGCTTGCAAGTTCTGGAGAAACACAAGCTGAACAGTCTTCTCTGGCAGTGGTAGAAAGACTGGCTTCAGTGGTTTGTGAACGAGTGAAAGACGTAGACCCTTCTACTATATTGCTCCACTGTCCACTTTCACAACCAGACTCAATCTGCTCCACTGCAGTTCCTGATGGACAGTTGGAGTGACCAGAGCAAGTGTACTGCACCACGACCGACACAGCTTGAAGCAAGCCTTGTACGTTGTCGTGTACGCGGCAAACGACGTGGAAATCCGAAACGTTCACAGACTGCGGAGGTACAGCGGCGTCTCCGGTCGGGATGAGTAGAGCTATCACAGTCTGCAGATTCGCGGCGACTGGCTCGAGGCAGCTCTGCTGGTAGGAAGACGGTAGAGAGACAAAGACAGTAGCTAACGCCACCAAGACTCTTAGTTCCATCACTCTTGCGCGGGAGAAACGAGAGGGATTCAGCTCCACCCCCAACCTTTTGCAGATAGCGAGCCACGCCCTAAAATAATGAGATTTGCGCGTGCGCGCGCGCGCACACAAACACGACGAATCCCCTGCGCATGCGTCTACACACTTAAGTGGGGTATTATTGACTCCAGCATGCCACCCAAGCGCACAATATAGTGCATGGACTGAGCACACACACTCATGTTAGCGCTCACCTTCATGGGCAAAGGCCATTGCACAATCGGGGGAGCACACCCGAGTATATAGAGCCGGCAGCGTTAAACGCAGTAGTGTGGTAGTCCGTGCGGGATAAAGAGCGCCTGGGTCAACATGCCTCCAACACAATAAATAATATAGGACACAGTGAACGAGCCACACCTCTCGAGCACTTGCAGGTTCAGCCAGCAATCACGTGCGATCCGTAGTTAAGTTGACGTTGCGCAATAATGAACATTATAGCATACAGAATTATACAGAATTACACTCACATAGCTAATACCACAATGAACGTTCTGTGCAGCAAACACAACAGTATAAAAAGCACATGAAATGAAGTTCCTTTACTCGGATCCGTTACTATCTGGCTCAACCGCACCCTCTCCCTCTCCTCCTCCTTCCCCGCCCGTACTAATTGAAGGGGCGCTCTTTCCGTTGGGGGTGATGGCTCCCTTGTCGACATCATCCAGATCAGTGGGCTTTACATAGAGAGGGTTGAGATGGTCATTGCTCCTATATATATGGGGATAGAGAGGGTGGGAACACACAACACAAACAGGGAAATGAAACAGGGAAATGAAGCAAAAGTGTATTTAGACGTCGGCAGATTCAAATTGACCAATGAGATTGCGTAAAACGTGGATTCTAAATCCCGTATTTTCCAAGTGCGTGTTTCCATGGAGACGCCCGCCAAAAAATGGCGTCTTCGATGGGGGTGTGGCAAACTTCCGCGCAAAGAAACTCGCTCTGTCGCTGAGAGCTCGCCGCGACGACTTCAAACTCGCTATATCCGATGCTTCTTCGATGAAAGGCCTCTCTACGATGCAAAAAGAAACTAAACTGAAGACCTTTTTAGCTTCCCCCGGCAAGAGCGAGTCTTTCGGAAGACGGCGGACCTGGACGATTTTGAAGGCCGGCACGGCCTCCGTCTAAACAGGTTATACTGCTTTGCCACTCCAAAACACACTCCTCCCTTATATATACACCCACTGTATCAGCAACACGAACAGTGTAGCTAAGCCACCAGCCACCCCCATACAAATCATCAGCATCTTCTCAAGAAGGCTACAGACACACAGGAGAGCATTCTCTGTTTACCTCCATGTGACATTTGGGGATTGGTTTTGAGCACCCGTTGCAAGGAATCAGAGAGTAAACATGTGTATGCATAGTCCTTTGTCTGCACTGAACAAACTATACACACTTGTGCATGCGGCCACCTACAAATCACCATTGAATTTCTCCATTCTATATGTGTAGTGTACTAAAGAGTGTCCACCCATTTAGGGAAGACCACTACTAGTCATAGCATCCCTCCACCACATGCTCAGCAGTTTGCGGGGTACGCTCTTTTCTATGGCACTCTGATATTTAAACTAGGTGAAAACGACTTAACATACGTGCTGGAGGCTTACCACACACACACACACACACACTTGAAAGCAAAAATCGTACTACTTAGGCTATGATCTCTGCCACACAGGATGTTAATGGTTTAATGGACACACTGTGCACCAAAAGGGAACTTGCATGGATATGTAGCATGAACATCAAATGGCATAGACTTACGGTCCAGATTCAAGCTCAGTTTTCTTAAGGTGAACCTTGTCCCAGTATCTCTTGGCCAGGAAGATAATGAGGGCCGTCAGTAGAGCCAATAGAATGGCTACCACAATGATGGCAATAATGATACCTGGAGGAAGAAGGTAGTGAGAATACCACAGGAAGTTTTAGGGAGGACGTCTCAGAGGAAGTTAGGTGTATAGAAATTATCTGTGCTCGATGAGTATCCAGTTTAAATGGTGGGCAGACTGCATTAGTAAGCTAACTGGGCATCTATAATTATATCCGCCATTGAGCGTCAAACAAATGCTCATACACACGTGTAACATGCAAAACCAATCGCGATTATGCCACATTTTTATTATGATTTCACTGTCTGGTGTATTCAAAGTTGACTCAATCCCTCCTGAGATTAGATGGTATAAACCAATGGACATATCGGATATGGAGAGTAATGTGTTTACAACAGATCTGCGAGAGTGTGACTCAAGAGGAAAAAGCATGTTGACTACAAGGGCATTTTGAATGAAAAACATTATCACGGTCGCATAATAACTCTAAGTCTCACAAACATGATACATATATAGTATATACTTCTACATCGCAGGAATGTTGACCTAAGGCCAATGTCATCTTGAACTACATCTTACACGTAGTTCAACATTCCTCTTTGCCAGATCTGGGTGTTCAGATGCATTGGGATTACAGCATATTAAATGAGTGAATGAGACCATTGAAGTGGCCAAATAAACTCTCATATCTGAGTTGTGAGGCTCAAAGAGAGATTCCCAATTTTGCCTGCTGTCCTACTCCCTTGCCATTTCTGCACAATACCACACCTAACTTAGGCTCAGCCAGCTCAGCAGTCACTAAAGGTGTGTATAATACTTGTGCTACTCTAGTTTGAGTCTGCTGAACTAGCAACTGCTTGCAGTGGCATGCATTACATCAGCCTGGTCACAAACACTTACTTGCTAGAGTGGGCCCAGGCAAGCCATGCATGCAACTGTTGTGCCCACAATCTAATGCACAGCATGTGTTTTGGCAAGCCACTCATGCAGCTGAGTAAACCACTTGTCCTTCTCCCAGGGAACAAACATTACTCACATGTAATGCTAACACTCTTGTCTATATAGCTGTTGTTTATAGACCACATTATAAGCTGGGAAATAACATCGCCCTGTCATTCATGGGGAATTTGTTACTAAGACCACAAATTATAACTGATTTCCTTCCTATAAGTCAATGTAAGTTGCACTACCACAGGTGTGCTACTAAAAGGAAGCAGATCCACAACCAAAGATCATACTTACAGCCCTTATCCTCCCACTAGACCTTCAAAAGGAAGGCAGTTAGGGGTTACACGCACATACATCCTTCCTGGTGGCTACCACTATGTATCTGAGCATAGAGCTCCATAATGAAACTAGGCTCAGGGCCAAAAAGTCCCACTACAGTGCTACACCACACTTACACTTTCAGACAAGTCACAGGCTGAAGTTGGAGTTAAGAAGTTGGTAGCCTACAAACTTTCCCCCTCTTGTTTACAGTCACAATCATCCCCTCCCACCACAGTTTTAATAGGGTGGTTAGGTGGGTTTTAACCATAGAAACCCCAGCAAAATAAAGATATTATCCTCTCACCAAAAATGGCCCCAGGAGAGAGCCTATTTCCATCATCTCTCCCAGTGATACAGGCAGAGTTGTCTTCACTCAGTCTCAGTCCTTCGTCACAAGTGTCACACTTGCTGGAGTCGTCATCCGAACAAATACTGCAGCGATCTACAGTTGCACATCCTAACAGAGAGAGAAGAGGCGGTTTCTAGAGCATTCACATTCGAGGTTCAGTGACTCACTGCAAATTCCACTCTCGAGTTTGTAGTTTTGTTCACAAGAACTGCATTTGTCCTCATCGCACTCGATACAGTTCGACGTGCAGCCTATAGCAGGTGGCAGATGTGGGGTGCGTGAGAAAGGACACTGCAATGAATACCAAATCTGGTATACTACCATAAACAGGAGGTTGACATAATACTCTGGAGATTTGTGGGCCATATTCATGCAGTGGGGGTATGCTGTGTTGTTGATGCACTCAGCAAGTCACTAAATTGGACGTTAAACACACTCACATGATGGTTCATTACCAGACCAGCTAGCACTAGCCAAACATGTTCTGGTGGCATCTCCCACTAGATTATAGTCATCATTGCAGGAGTAAGTGGCTGTTGAGGTGAATGTTGTAGTAGACAGATCCAAATCTCCATTTGCTGGTTTCTCTAGTTGACCACAATCTACGGCTGCATAGAAAGTCAGTTAACTGACTGTTTTGTGCAAATTGCTCTAGACTATACCTCTGCATGTTGGTTCATCTCCAGACCAGCTAGCACTAGTGAGACATGTTCTGGTGGTATCTCCCACTAGACTGTAGCCATCATTGCAGGAGTAAGTGGCTGTTGAGTTGAATGTTGTATTAGTCACAGTAACTGCTCCATTCACTGGGTCTGTAAGACTACCACAGTCAACATCTGTAACAGAATTCATTCATGATGATTCAGAAAACAAATGTTTAACTTCACCATCTTCGCAGTTATGGCCAGTAGTTCCCTCAGGACAGACACATATACTGTCAGAGTTGGACATGAAAGGACTCAGACACTGCTCCACACACACTGAGTTGTTGTAGAAGTTGCAGCAGTCACTGGCACCAAAGTCCAAAGCATCTCATGAGACCTTGATCACATGTTGAGTTACAGGCTGTGGAAAAACAAAGACTGTGACAGTAGGTTGGATTGATCTATTGCTCACTTACCTACACAGTGAGTTACGCTATCAGTCGTGACACCCAGGGTGTTTGCTAGTTCTGGAGACAAACAAGCTGAACAGTCTTCTCTGGCAGTGGTAGAAAGACTGGCTTCAGTGGTTTGTGAACGAGTGAAAGAAGTAGAGCCTTCTACTCTATTGCTCCACCGTCCACTTTCACAACCAGACTCAATCTGCTCCACTGCAGTTCCTGGTGGACAGCTGTTGTGACCAGAGCAAGTGTAGTGCACCACAACTGAACGCCGCGTAGGAGGTCTTGTCGGTCAGTAAATCTGAACGACAGACAATTCTCAAATCAGCACATCCACTGTAGGCGTTGCTGCAGCATCTCCTGCTTGGATGATAGAGGAATCACGGTGTCCTCCAGATCGACTCAGGCTTTCTTTCGTAGGATATGGTACAGAACTGACTGTAGCCTGATCCTACCACTACGCTAACCAGCTACAGCAGCAGCGCCACTAATTTCCTGCCCAGCATGTTGAGTAATTCAACTGCACGACAATACAAACAAAAACGAAATTGCCTCAGTATGATGCTATATAGGACTGACTGCAGGAAAGGATGACGATGCAAAAAATAACGCATGCGCGGGACGTCGTACACGCAGTGTGATCACATGACTATAAAGTGGTTCCGTTTCCACTCGGATCTGCTACGGGTATGTTCATCCCATTGGCTCCAGTCTGCCCCTCTGGCCGGTCTGAAGTTATGTCATTGGGTGACACAAACAGCGGGTTATCCTTTACAATACCCCTGCAATAATGATATAATAATAATCCGGGCAGAAAATATTTACGCAAAGAATCTGACAACCATACCACCTTTACTTTGTTCCCATAATGCTTGTACCATAGATTTTGACCTCCGCCAAGGAGAACACCTCCCTTTATGGCCCACTAAGGTGGTCAAATGTAGACGGGTTTCACTTGTTACTAACTTCAGTGAAATCTCAGCAGTCTTCAGTTTCGCTTTAGCTCTCTTTCTCGTAGCAATGAAGGCTCCAATGATGAGAAGAGTAATTAGCAGCAAGAGCAGGAGTGCCCCTATTATACAAGCAATGATTACTCCTGCAGGGAAAATGTTAAGTAAATGATGCAGACTATAGCACTATTTTTTAAAAGGACCGAGATTAGGACTTTGGTTGTCGTCTCCAGTAAAGCGCTCCTTTTCTCTGCAATCCTTTGTTACCTCATCTTGAACGAAGCCTTCCTTGCAAACTGAAAGAGAAATAGAATGAAGTATTCAACACAAACACTTTCAGGGTTCGTTTTGGCTTTCCTTGAAAACCCTCTGCAAACAGCCGA